TTTTATAGAAAGATACTTTTAATTAACAAACATACATACAATTATGATGAATCAATCTTAATATATAAAAGTGTTCGTCCTCACTGATAGACTAACTGATTCATCAACGCAAGGCCTGAACTACTGCAACTACAAACATGAAATTTGGACTTTTTAATATTGTAAAATTGATATGATTTCAAAGTTATTTTTAATTTACTTACCTAAATGTTATTCGAAAATAAAATTTAAAATTAGTGATGACAGTGGAAAATATAACAAAACTGAACAACCACCACAACCAGCCGACTAGACTTGGAAAATAAAATTTTTAAGTTTGTGCCGACACGGAGTTTTATGGTACAAACAAAGGTGACAAATGTTAGAAAAACATCTGGTTTTGGTCATACCGCTGTCTCGTCAAATTGTTACCCAGATAATGACAATCATAAATCTGGTATTTTTTGTCGGTATTGATCTAAAGGTCCAATCACCCAACCCAAATGCGCACTCTTTTTCAATTATTACAGTCAGAAAGTGCCAGGAATTGACTTCTTATGACCTATTTTGGTGAACCACTCCCCATAGTGGAATGTTAAAATGTTGCTTTTTCTGAAAAGTTTTCGATGGGCGCCTTGGTCTGTTCCTGCTATAATATTTTGTACATAGTGATTCAATGCAAATCTAATACTCTTATTAATTTATTTCTACGGAGTTAACACAAAAGCATAGGCCCCGCCCGCCGCCCGGCGCCCCTTGTCATGGGCGCCCCGATGCGGTGCATCTTTCGCTTACCGTGTTAAGCCGGCCCTGAGTAGGAAGCATCTTTTTACTTTTGTAGTACATTGCAGACAACGTTATGCTTGTCGCCGAAATAAAACTTACAATTCCACCATAAAAAGCACTCTGTTTGACAAATAAATAAGAATGTTTGTCAATTTTGAGATGATTACATACGTTTGAATTAGCTTTCGGGATTAAAATTCCTAGCGAAAACATTCCCATCTGGGGACCGTTGACTAAACTTAAAATATTTGATGCTACGTAAAACAATCCTCCAAGATGTTCTACCACAAAGGATAACAGTATGCATAATATTCCTGTTATAAAAACAATTGATTTCACAATGATCAAAGCCTGTGATTCGGAAAAATTTTTCTTGGTAGCTTTACAAACAAAATCTTTGTAGATGACGCCAGAGAGAGAATTTAAAGTTGTTGAAAATGAACTAAAATCAAGAATCAATATCAATTTTAACTTTTGGTTATTTTGATAAATACCTCAAACTGGCACTGTAGGTACACGCCATAATCAACCCACAAACACCTGTTATATTTTTTAAAATGTCCATAATGTAATAGGCTACTAATCCATCATACTTTTCCAATTTAGCTGCAGAAACTGGATCACAGTCTGAATACAAAGAATATATATTTAAACCTTGGACTATACTTCCGGTTTGTACTAAAGCGACACCAATTGTGAAATATATGATGGCCCTTCGAACAAACTTATTCATAAAATTGAATTAGAACTCAAACAAGTACTACTTTTTGCAGTCGCTAAATGTAGGAACAGATGAGTACTTTAATATAGTGCATTGATTTACACCAACATCTGCCACCCATCCTATAGTACAACCAATCAAAATAATCCAAAAACTGTCACGTTTTGTAGGATCAGGATCAAAACTGCAAATAACATCAGTAGATGATGAAATGAAGAAAAAAGTAATTACTCCAAAATATCAAATCTTCCACCTGTTTTAATGTTTGACCATACTACTGCAGGTCCTCCTTGTTTAACAACACCGAGTAAGAAAAAAGTAGTCATAGCAACCGATTGGACAACCATTTGAAAAATATCAATCCAGACAATAGATTTTAAGCTTCCAAAGGTAGTGTAGAGAACACACATACCGCTAACAGTTATTGTAAAGAGATGGCTGTCAATACCAGAAACTAAAATTCATAAGTACGTTTTAAATATATAGGTAAATACATCAGTTCATGATTGATAAACCTGTATGACAAGCTAATGCCGCAATATATTATATTACCATCGATTGAAGAAACAAATACTCAAAGACATACAAAATCGAAGCAAATAAACGCGTTTTGCTGTCAAATCTTCTCTCCAAGTATTCATAGATGCTTGTTAATTGTAAGTTGTAAAGCACAGGTACGTAGATGTATATTTTTAACAAACACATCAACAACAAAGACACTACAATCCATTGATAATTTGCCCCATATTGATACACTTCAGCTGGTAGAATTAACAATGTAAAAGATGACATGTGGCTAAAAATATCAAAATTAGACTCAGAAAGGTTTTCGTTATCTACCACCAACCATGCTACCAGCGATATGGCTGTAGGAAGACTTTTCATTCGTTTCCCTCCCAGTAAATAATGACTAAGGGTGGCCTCAATCTTACCAAAAAATCTTGCACCTGTTCCAGTGCACAAACAAATTACTAGCACCAGAATAAAAATAAAATAATCTACCCATGATATATTGCTTATAATGGTGTCTTTGGAATTTGGTGCAGTAGTGAAAGTCAATGAGGAATTCATAGTTTCAGCTGAAACGAGGTTAGACGTTACCTACTCGTACTATGCAGCATTTATACATTTTTACATTATTAACTCGATTTTGATATAAAAACATGTATTTTATTTCAGGACAATGCTTCCAACCATAAGTGTTTAACTGCGTCACGAGAAATTGATAAAATTGGCTTGAAAAGGATTTTTTTTAAACTTAAAACTATTTCGTGAGCGTTGCACCATATGTAGAGAATCAAAATGTGGTTAAACTGAACGAACAAAAATTTGTTAAGAATTAGAGCAACGTTTCCTATGTTGGGCCATGAACTTATTATCAACACTTCCTGGTATCTACACGCATAAAAAAAAATGTATTCATTTTAAGTGGGAATTGTGATAACATTTGTTATAGTATGTATGGCACAATACAAATATTCAAGGTTAGAACTTATAAAAAACAAAATTCACTTTACCTGGATTTAAAACTTAACAGTTTCTAAAGCAAAAACTATAAAAGAACAAACCTCGTGCCACCAACTCAAATTCTCAAAACATAAGGGCATATATTAAGATTTTAGTTGCATATTTTTGAATCTTTTGGTGCCTATGCAAGCTCAATATTTTTTAGATGCGGTCATGTAATATGTAAGTATTACATTTATTTTGGACCCAACTCACATCAATGAAGAATTCTTAGGTTACGCTGAAATGAAATTAGAGCGTATTGTCAGGAGCCATTCTTACCATTTGGAATGTGTGAATTTCTTCAATTTTAAGATAATGTTGCACCAAATGTAAAAAAAAACACTAAATATTTATACCTTATATTATAACTGTAAAACAAGACATCAGTTTTAAGTAGGGTGGTATTATAACATTTGTCATCCTTTGTATCGCAGAATGCACATACAGAAAATATAGAGGGCACACTAAGAAAAAAAATGTATCCACACGAATGAAAAATAATATACGAATCACTTTCTAAAACAAAGGAGGCAACAAACATGTGTACAACTTTAATTCTCACTTTAAAAAATTTAATTTCACGTCATACATTATCTGTCTATTATAGAATTATCTATGTGCCTATACTTACATAATTTTAAATGTACTCCTACCAGATAAGTAAAAATAGGGAGTTAAAATGTTTTAAAATGTTCGTGACACTTAACACACTAACGAATTAAAAAAGCTAGTTAGCAGTTTCATCCCAAGAATCAAGTAGTAATAACTAAACTTATTAATCTAAAACCACTACGAAAAAAATCGTCCATAATTACAGGTCACTTCTGATGTAAACTATACTTTCATCAAAGTCATTTAAAAATTAGGTTCAGTACTCAAGAAAATATCTTTATTAAGATCAGATGCCATTCAAAATGATCGCGTTTTTCAGAAAGTTTATGACTGCCACTTGTATTACTAAAAACATTGAAATTATTACAATTTATTTTACAAAATTTCGATCTTCAAAGTTGCCATTGCTCTTTGCCTCTATATATATATACACGGAGTCTTTTTTGTTTTACAACCCCTGTAACTTTTTATTTTTGAAGACAGGTTCTTAATAATACAATTTTTAATTCACACGGATAACACAGGAAATCACTTTATATTTTTAAATGGGACACCCGGTAAGCGACTAATAAGTATTCTAAAATAAATAGTAAAAAGTTAATCAGTTAAATAGAGGAAAATTAAATATTTCATTACAAAAATCTAGTAGCCTAAAAAATTAACAACTATGTTTTCATTTGAATAGTTTCATGAAATTTCCACTTCCAAACAAAAATTTTATTTCTAAATATTCCGAATGTTTTTTTTTGCAAACAAAGCAGAACACTCTTAGAATTAAATTCACATTTATGCCTTGTGTGGCATTCGTTATTAACATTTTCTTTTATGAAACCCCGAAGGAGATAACCATTGGGGTTTAAATCAGGCGATCTTGGAGGCCATCTTACTGGGCCCCTGTTCCCCATCCAACGATCTTTGAAACATTTTTGTTAAAAAAGTATTCACATTTGTCATGTTGTGAGGTGGTACCCCATCCTGTCGAAAACACAAGTTTTGAATGCAATTCAACGATAATTTATCAAAACAATCTTCTTTCATTTGCCGCAAAATACGTAAATATTGGTCGCCATTCAGGTTGACATAAAAAAAATATGGTCCAATTTTGGTATTATTTACCAAGGCAGCCCATACATTAAATACATATATACCGTGTGTTCCATTTAACAAAATGATGGAAGCGACAATAAGAGCCATGAGACAGATATTTTAAAATCAAACAAATTTATTCTAAGAACTATAGGTTTTTCTTTAAAAATGAAAAGTTACAAAGCAAAACTGCCAAGTAAAGTTATCAAATTCGAGTCAGTTCTAAACTGTTTATTTTGAGTTACACAGATCATACCAAAAATAAACAAAAAAAAAAAAAATGTAACTAAACACTATGTGTCTCCTGTAAAAACTCAGTAGGTTCCAGTACAAAACTAGCTATTTTAAATTTTGCAACAAATGATCTTCGGTCACGTCATTTGAAATTTTTGGAAGAAACGAATGGCAAAGTGAACATAGAAGTTTTCTGTCAACAGGATTAGTACTTTTATTGGTGAGGTAACTGATAATAATTCCAAAGACCACCGTTATCGAGAATGTTATTAAAGGATAATAATAGAATGAAATCCTAACCACAAAGTTTGGTTTAATTCCACTTGTCGCATTTCTGAAACTAATATGTTTAAAATATACAACATTATTAGAACGAATAACTCGTTACGCTATGGTCCACTCTGGAGCGAAGTTTTCCAAATTAGTTTGATTAAATTTGCAACCTGCAGTAGATATAGGTTTCACAACATTAGCAAGCAATTTGTTGCTTTCATGGTACATTGCGGTTAACAATAGGCTTGCTCCCGAAATAAAACCAACAATTCCACCATAAAGAGCACCCTGTTTGAAAATTTAACATAAAAATGTTTGTCAATTTCAAAATGACATACATTTGAATTCGCTTTCGGAATTAAAAGTCCTAACGAAAACATTCCCAATAGGGGACCGTTAGCTACACTTAAAATATTTAACGCCACCTGAAACAAGCCTCCCAGATTTTCTACGAAAAAGCTTAACAGTATACATAATGTTCCTGTGACAACAACAGTTGATTTCACAATGTTAACAGCCTGTGATTCGGTAAAATTTTTTGTGAAGGCATTACAAATAAAGTCTTTGTAAATTACGCCAGAGAGAGAATTTAAAGTTGTTGACAAAGTACTAAAATAGAAAATCGATTTAAATTGTGTTTGTGTTACTATTATTAATTAAATACCTCAAACTGGCACTAAAGGTGCAAGCCATAAACAGTCCGCAAACACCTGTTATATTTTTTAAAATGTCCAAAATGTAAAAAGCTACTATTCCATCATACTTTTCCAGTTTAGATGCAGCAACGGGATCGCAGTCTGAATATAGGGAATAAATATTTAAGCCTAGGATGATGCCCAAAATTTGTGTCAAAGAGAAACCAATTGTAAAATATATGATGGTCCTTCGAACAATTGTTAATAAAATTTAGATTTATTTAGGACTAGAACAAGTACTACTTTTTGCAGTCAGCTAATGTTGGCACTGATGAGTACTTTAATATGCTGCACTGATTTACACCAACTTCTGCTAGCCAACCCATAGTGCGACCAATCACTATAATCCAAAAACTGTCACGTTTTGTAGGATCAGGGTCAAAACTAAAAACGACATTAGCATTTGAAAGAATAAAGGAGTAGGTATTTTTACTCCAAAATATCAAATCTTCCTCCGTTCTTAACTCTTGACCATACAACTGTAGGTCCTCCTTGCTTAACAACACCCGATACCAAAAAGATAGACAGTGTAACCGAGAGGACTACCATTTGAAAAATATCAATCCAAACAATAGATTTTAGGCTTCCGAAAGTAGTGTAGAAAACACACACACCACAAACAATTACTGTTAAAAGATGGCTATTAACACCAGAAACTAAAATATTCATTAACGTTTCAAATAAAATTTGTTCATAGGTAACTATTTATGATCGAACCTGTGTGACAAGCAACTGTCGCTATTTGTATTATCACTGCTAAAAAGAATATAAACTCCAAAACGTACAAAATCGAACCAAATAAACGTGTTTTTCTGTCAAATCTTTTCTCTAAGTACTCATAAATGCTTGTAAATTGTAAATTGTAAAGTACAGGTAAAAAGATATAGATTTTTAAGAAACACAGTAAAAACAAGGACACTACTGTCCATGTATAATTTGCCCCATACGGATACACTTCAGCTGGTAGAGCTAAAAGTGTAAAAGTCGACATGTGGCTAAAACAAAAAAATGAGTTTGAGGAAGAATTTCGTTAATACCAACCATGCTACTAGCGATACGGCTGTAGAAAGACTTGTCATTCTTTTTCCTCCCATTAAGTAATAACTAAGGGTGGCTTCAATCTTACCAAAAAATTTTACACCGGTTCCAGTGCACAAACAGATGATCAGCATCAAAACAAAAATAAAATAATCTACCCAGGACATATTTCTTACAATGGTGTCTTTCGAATTTGGTGCAATATTAAAAGTCAATGTGGAATTCATGGTTTAAGTTGCAACGAGGCTCGAAGTTATTGCAACAAACCTGCTGGTATTAGAGTCATTTGCAGAACGAAATGGGTCATCACGTGGTCTGCGCATAGTGTGCATTTATGTCGGTCAAGTCCATTATTCATCCAAAGGGGTGAACATCTTTGCACTGGTGTGCAATCAGACCCATAATATATTATTTTTCTCAAATTTTATAAATAATAGTAATAGTTTTAAGAAAGTGATTATAAAATTCAGATTTTTGTTCTTCATTGTCTATATAGACATAATATTAATATGGCATGAACATTATTATTTTACTATGCTACAGACGGTACGCCACTGGGGTCTAGAAGCCGCGCATCATAAGCCCCACCCCTGGCCCCTTTCATTCTGCATTTACCTCTATGTATATGCCTGCTGTTTATACTAAAGCACAAATAAGAGCCTGTTTTAATTATTTTAACTACACAATATTTTTATTATATTTATTTTGGGCACGACTTACAGGTGTATTGTATCCATTTTAAAATAATGTAATAAAAAATATAATAACTAAGTATACCTTCACGTCGGAACAAAACAGCATCAGTTTTAAGTGGGACAGAATTATAGCATTTATCACACTTTGTTAGCTCTGAAAATATACAAGGCGCACTAAGGCGAAAATTTATTTCACACGAGTGAAGTAAAAAAAAATCGAAGGAGGGAACGAGCATTCAACCTTATTTCCCATTTAAAGAATTTAAATTACACGTAATACACTAGGCGTGAATAATAGAATTATCTATGTGCATATATAAAATTTGAAATGCAGTCTGCATCTGATAAACAAAAAAAATGGGTTAAAATGCTTAAAATATTTGTAACATTTAACATAATAAGAATGTAGAAAGCTAGTTTGTACTTTTATTCCAAGGATAAAACAGTAATAAAAAATAGCAAGTGTTGCAACTGTAAATGTAAAAAATCAAAGTCAGTCAGTCTAATCTATTTATTTTGAATACACAGATCGTAGGAAAAATAAATAATAAATAAAAAATAAAACTCTAGCTTAACTAAATAAAACGCGTTTGGTGCAAAAGTTCGTAGATTTCAGTGCAATAACCCTGATTTATCTAAGTTTTTCAACAGATGATCTTCTGCAACGTTATTTGAATCTTTTGGAAGAAACGAATGGCAAACTGGACTTAAAAGATTTTTGTCAACAGGATCAGCATTTTTATTGGTGAGATAGCTGACAATAATTCCAACGACCAGCGTAATCGAAGACGTTATTAAAGAATAATAATAGAATGAAATTCTGGCGAAAAAGTTTGCTTCACTTGCACTTGTCGTATTTCTGAAAATAATGTCTTTAAAAAATATAACCCTACTATATGGAATAACTTGTTACGCTATGGTCCAATCTGTATATATGTCGTCTAAATTCGTCTGATTAAATCTACAACCTGCAGTAGACATAGGTTTCACAAAATTGGGAAGCATTTTTTTGCTACCGTAGTACATTGAAGACAACATTAGGCTTGCTCCCGATATAAAACCAGCAATTCCACCATAAAGAGCACCCTGTTTAAGAATTTAGCGTAAGAATTTTTGTCAACTTTGGAGTGATTACATACATTTGAATTGGCTTTGGGAATTAACATCCCTAACGAAAACATTCCCAACTGGGGACCGTTGCCTAAGCTTAAAATGTTTAACGTTACCTGAAACATTCCGCCAAGATTTTCTACAACAAACGTTAACAGTATGCATAATGTCCCTGTTACAAAAACAATTGACTTCACAATGTACAAAGCCTGTGATTCGGTAAATTTTTTTTTGAAGATGTTACAAATAAAGTCTTTGTAAATCACACCAGAGAGAGAATTCAAAGTTGTTGACAACGTACTAAAATATGAAATCGATATAAAATGTAACTTTTTATGGTTATTATTTTTTAATTAAATACCTCAAACTGGCGCTAAAAGCACAAGCCATAAACAGTCCATAAATGCCTGTTATATTTTTTAACGTGTCCAAAACATAAAAGGCTACTATTCCATCATACTTTTCCAACCTATTTGCAGCAACGGGATCACAGTCTGAATATATGGAATAAATATTTAAACCTTGGGAAACACTCCCGATTTGTAATAATGTGACACCAATTGTAAAATATATGATGGTCCTTCGAACAGTTATTTAATAAATTCAAATTGATTTAAGTCTAAAGAAGCACTTTTTACAGTCGCTAAATGTAGGAACAGATGAATACTTTAATACACTACACTGATTTATACCAAATTCTGCCATCCATCCTACAGTGCGACCAATTACTATGATCCAAAAACTGTCATGTTTTGTAGGATTAAGGTCAAAACTAAAAAAAAAAATTAGCATCCGAAGAAATGCAGCAAAATGTAATTACTCAAAAAGATCGAGTCTTCCACCGTTTTTAGCCCTGGACAATAAAACTCCAGGTCCTCCTTGTTTAACAACACCTATTATTAAAAATGTAGATAAAGCAACACCTAGCACTACCGTTTGAAAAATGTCAATCCAAACAATGGATTTTAAGGTTCCAAAGGTAGTATACAGAACACACACACCACAAACAGTTATTGTCAAGAGATGGCTGTTTAAACCAGAAACTAAAATTGACGAACACGTTTCAAATACATTTCAGTTAAAGGTATTATGATTAAACCTGTGTGGCAAGCCAATGTCGCAATGTGTGTTATCACTGCTAGAAAGAATAAAGATTTCAAAACGTACAAAATCGAAGCAAATAAACGTGTTTTTCTGTCAAATCGTTTCTCCAAGTACTCATAAATGCTTGTTAATTGTAAATTGTAAAATACAGGTACGTAGACGTATATTTTTAACAAACACATCACCACCAATGGGAATATAGACCATAGATAGTTCGCCCCGTACTGATACACTTCAGCTGGTACAGCTAAAACTGTAAACGTTGACATGTGGCTAAAATCAAAAAATAGATTAAGAAGCATTTTGGTTAATACCAACCATGCTACAAGCGATACGGCTATAGGGATAATTTTCATTCTTTTTCCTCCCATTAGGTAATAACTAAGGGTGGCTTCAATCTTATCAAAAAATTTTACACTAGTTCCAGTACACAAACTTATCAATAGCATCACAATAAAAATAAAATAATCTAGCCATGAAAGATTTGTTGTATTGCTGCCTTTGAAATTTGGTGCAGCATTTAAACTCAACGAATAATTCATTTTTCAAACTGAAACAAAGTTAGGCGTTACTGTAAAAAACCTATTGTTATCAAACTGTAGCAATTACACATGTTATCAGTTTTGAAGCAAAAAATAACTGTATTTTCCGCTTAACTGAACGGCCAGCGACTTTGTCCAATATTTTGGATTGAATGTAATTGCTAATTAATCAATTAAGAGAATTAAAACACAATGATTTCCCAGTGAATTTCATGTCAAAAAATCGGCAGGAAATGTTTTTCGAGCAACGGTGGAAGAGGTTTATCGTACTGCTAAGAGTAAAGTTTTGTGTCTATTTCAGTGTTTTTTACGTGTTACACATTGGTACACAACAATAATAATTGTTACTTTTGTTGCGCCTTTTTTCAGTCATTTTGAACTGGTATCTCAATGAGCCAGTATAATAGTCAGAACAATCGAAAAAATACGTTGTCACAATGCCAACAACAGACTTTATCCCGATCTCGATCGCCATACTGTTTTTCCCAGCGCCTCCTATAGTTTCTTTTCATTCCCAAAACTGAGTTGTTAAATCAGGAACTTATCAACAACTCCTCGTGTGTACAATCGTAAAAAAATACCTTGGTTTTAAGTAGAGATTATGATAACATGTGCAATAAATAGTACGTATGTAAGTCAAATTACAAATATTCAAGGTTAGAACATACTAAAATTACAATTCTTTAAATACAAATCGGTTTTTAAAACAAATGAGAGAACCAACGTCGTGTCTCCAGATCATTTTCACTTTTACAATTTTAAATTACATCCTATATAAACTTTATTTATTTTTTTGACAAAAGAATATCTGCAAAAATATTCGATCGGCACACGTCCTTTAAAAAAAAAAGTTACCAAAACGTCTGAGTAGTATTTTTGAGTTTCTTGGTGTATATGCGTGGCGTTAGAGAGATGTACTTCATGTACTATTACATTTATTTTGAACCCAACTTACGTCAATAAAGAATTCCTAGGGTAAGCTGAAATGAAGTTCCACCTTATTGTCCCGAACCAGTCTCAATCCTTAGAGTTAGTATATTTCATCAATTTTAAAATTATTTTGTACCAAACTAAAAAACAATAAATTTTGAAAACTTATAGCTGTAAAAATATTATACTCCTAACATTTATCATACTTTATATGGCAGCATACAGATATTTGAAATATGAAAGGTGCACTAAGAGTATTTTTTTTTTCACATTAATGATGTCTATACAAATCACGTTCTAATGCAAAGGAGGAAGGAAACATAATGTGCCTAACCTAAATCTCACTTT